CTCTCTCTCTCACTCTCTCACTCACTTACTCTCTAATTCTTAAGATATTTAACGGTTAAACAAATGGGAAATGTCGACACTTTCAGTAATAACATTAATTTTTACCATAAAAATATTTTTGCACATTTCTGCTAAGAATACAAAGCGAAACGAAATAAAAATTATATATTTTAAAACATTTGTTTTTTATCAATGTTCACAAAATTATTTCTAGAAAATTAAACCAACACAATGGTTATTATTATTAAATTAAAAATAACATTTTAAATTTAACAAAACAGAATTTTAATTAGGGCACTAACATTTAATGCAATATACTTTTTAAAATGTTGTTTTGAATATTATTATCAAATTATTTAGCTATATATTTATATTTTACAACATAAAGTAAATTTTTATTTAATTAATTATCATATTTATCTATATTTTGACAACTAATTAATGTAGAGGCAAATATCAAAGTGGCAAATAGATATTTCTATGCAAAATTTAAGCATATTAATTAATTAATTCGCGGAGACAAATAATAACCTTGATGGTAAACATCTAATTTGTAAATTCTTGATAGTTTTTAAGACACATTCAAATGACATTGAAATGCGATAACCAGTTATAACTTATAATACACAACTTACAAGTAAATTCATTGTAAAAGTAATAAGCTGTGTTACATAAATAACACACCACTCTATTCATTATTATCTAATGTAAACATCTTCAAAAATTGTAATAAAATGAATTGCGTTAATTCAAAATAATTATTAATATATCAACAAAATAACCAGTACAATTAAACAAATATTACCAACACACAATTCACCATCAGCTATGAAGACATGGATCAGTCTACTATCTATAGTTATAACTTATGGATTAATACAGTGTATTAATGGCGCTGAACACGATTTAATCAATATATTGGCCAAAAACGATACCATAAGAAATACACTGGAAAGAAACCCGTGTATCGGCCGTAATAGACCGGAAGCCCGACGGTGTCTGTACTCAATGGCCCCCAAAGCCACCGACTTGACCAGTAAAAGGGCCACTCATTTATGCTGTTACGCACAGGTGTACTCCCAATGTCTGGTCTCTACAGCTATTCAATTGGTTTGTACCATGACAATAATTTATTTATATGACTTAAACAATTTTATATTATGCTATTTGCTATTGTTTAATATTTATAACTAATGTAAATTTGTTTTAAATATTTTATTTGACATGTAAATGTTTTAAATGTATTTTTATTTTTAATACAGAAAAATTGCGATCAGAATAATGAGCTGCATATGCTGAAAACTACTTTGATCATGGCCAAACGCGACCGGGAGATGAACTTATGCCAATTATATAAATATTCAAATAACCAAACTAATTGCAATAAATCGTTAATTGCCAATGTGACGGGTGGTGTAGTTTCTAGCGCACAAAACTCAATTACAACTATACTGCTCATGGTGATTGTAGTTAAAATATTCGAGTAAAACATTACAAAGTTAAGCGACTAATAATTTAATTATGCAAATTTGTATATAATATTGAATAAAATTTAACATATATTAATATTTGTGTATTTTAAATCAACTTAAATATTCATGGAGTAGGTAGTTTAATTAATAATTGTTATAATGTTAGGTGCCTTAAGGTTGTGGTAGGCGAGTCGCATCTCATCCCTATCTACTGAATGTAAACCAAATCATATAGGAATTAATAAATAAAACAAAATCCTATTTTAGTGTTTCATACGTTATTTCTATACATAATAATGATTTATATCTATTAATATAGATATTTGAAAATATTTTCGTATATAAAAAAATATTAAAATATCATTTTTCTTGTGATAAAACTGGCATTTATTTCGCCGTTATTTTCTATGAATTGATATAATATTTCTCAATTGACTAAAACTTTTTTATTTCGGTATTTTTTCTCTTCAATCACTTATAGATGGTATTTAATGAAAGGATAAAAATAAAATATTTTTTTACTTCATTTCTACTTTACAGCCATTGAAGTGAACGCTTATATCTCTAACAAAAAACTAGATATTTTTGGCTGTTTTTGTCACTATTTTCAATAGAGTTTATATATAAAGTGTAGATATTTATAGCTTATAAATAGGGCCTATTTAATAGGCTATATTTTTTGCGATAATTTTGTTCAATAAAAATATAAATATAATAAATTCAATCACTTTTGTGTTTCACTGGAGTCTATGTGTCTATGATTTAAATTAATAAATCAATTCATTTGTTGTGAGAAACACATTGTGTGTTGTATTATGTATTCAATTATAGCTAACAATCGCTTATAATATAAAAGTTTTGTTGTTGTTGTTGAAGATCAATGGGTTTTTGATTAAGGATTTCTATACTATTTTAGTTCAGAGAGAGAGAGAGAGAGAGAGAGAGAGAGAGAG